TTACCGTTCTGCTGAATCAGGACTTTATTGGAAGTAGGGTAGGTAGTACGATCTTGTTCGCTGTGAATGTTGAGGAGTGTCTAGCGTCTGGGTTTGGCGCGGCATCGGACCGTTCCCTTCAGATTAATGAAAAGAGGGAAGCGATTACAGCCGGTGGGAAATGATGGCGTCGCGCCAAATCCAGTCCATTCACCATGGCACGCCCTGGCATCCGCAGCCAACAAGAGTGCGCAGTGGTTCGAGCCTGATAATGTCTGAAGTATCAAAAATTGCTTGCAATATTTCTTTACTGTATAATCTCTTTGAAAGGCATTAACAAACTAACGCAAACAAAATGTTAACAAACTAACACACTGTTTGTGTGTTGTCTGAAATCCTTGGTCACGCATCAACAGAAGAATTACAGGAATTATCAATGGAACTGCTTGGGACAAAAAACGGTAGCACACCTGGTCCAACAGCAGCGAAAGCCGAAGCGGCTTATAATGCTCAGATCGCGGCTCAGAAGGAAAAGGTTAGTGTCATCTTCTTTCTTCAAATACTACTAAAAAGTCCCATCTGGAGAGGGATAAAATATGCCTACCGGCTGGGTCATTTTGCATATTGGTGTGGGTCAAGACAAGAGGTTCACGCTGCAGCCTTTTTTTCTCCCTAGCGTTGGTCCTGCGCTGTCACGTTGTCTGCTGAAGGAATTGTTTACAGCCCGTGACCCTGTGAATTTGGGGAAAGAAGCGCGCCCGCGAAACGGTTTTGATATTCATTGATAAGGAAATAAGATGGCGCTGCGCAAAACCAGCCCTCCCCGTCCCCTCAAACACCCCAGCGTCTACAGGGAACAAGGCTGCAGCACGCTCCGCGCGCAAGGTTTCGCTCAGCCGCCTCACCTCATGAACGACCCTCATCCTTTGCATTCTTGTCTTTCCTGAAGGGAAGTAGGAGAAGTAGGAGGAAGAAAGGGGGAGCGGGGGGGGGGTGCTGTTGTTGTTGTTGTTGTTGAGCGGTTCACCAAGGTAGATGTGGTAAACAGTCGAGCGAGTTTCTCATGAGGAGTATGCGGTATGAATCCCATAGTTGTTCACTTTCTTGTGCCCATATGCTAAAAGAGAGTCCACCAGCAGTAGGTGCGTAATGCGACTTGACAACTTCTATCTGCTCTCCTGTCCATTCCT